GTTGGCGCCGCAGTCACTTATCAGCAGCATCTGCGCCACCTCCGCTGCAGTAAGCAGCAGCAGCGTGTGCGGCGTGACGGCGTTGCTTCCAATTTTACAGCCCCAGTACGCGTCGCTATCATTGCGCCTGTTGTCCACGCTGCCACTTGTCTCGGCCGTCACCGCCGCCCCCAAAATGCATGGCCGCACCGACGGGTAGTTGCGAAAGTATGCGTGGTACGCCGTGTCGTACGGCTCTGCTGGAATTTCGCCTGAGAAGCCGCGGTGACCAGCGGCGCCCACTGCCAGCAGCAGAAGCAGCAGCGTCACAAGGCGCCCAGCGCCGCGCACTGCAGGCCCCCACAACATGCCTCTCTTCTACACCACTGCAGTCGTGGAAACGGCTCACTCCACCTCCACACGCAAAAACACAAAACAAAACAGCACAAGATGCAAAGCAGCAGCGGCAAAGTCAGCTCTGCAAAGAATGCGGAAGTGAGGTTCACGAACACTTATTCTGTCCATCCCCGCAATCGTTGTTTTTTTTAAATAACAGACAGCAACAAGGTAAAGAACCACGGCACCACACACCAGCAGCACCGCCACGGCACCACACACACCCCTCCCTTTAGACGGGCGGCTGGAACGCTGTGCGCAGCGCCGCGTGTGTGGCGCGTGCGGCGGCCGTCGTCTCGCCCGTCCAGTCGTGCCGGTCGTGCGGCAGTACGCCATCGGGAATTGGCTGCGGCGTGCCCCTGTACGCGCAGCAGTCGGGGTCAAAACACTTCTGCGCCCACACACGCTGTTGCAGGTCGACAATGATGTAGACGCGGTTGGAGCGGTGCTCGCGCCCCACGTTGCCGCAGTACCGTGAGCCGTCCAGCAGCAGCAGCAGGTGCCGCTCGCCGCACTGCCGCACACCACTCGCGCTGCACGTCACTCCACCAACGGCTCTCCACTGCTGAGCCACATACTCCGCGAGGGCGCGGTACCGCTCCCCATCGGCGCCCTCCAGCAGACACGTCCTCACGTTGCCATCCCCATGACCGCCGCCCTGCGCACCCCCGTAGCGTGGCACTCCTCTTCCTCCTGCTGCTGCCGCTGATGTCACAGATGGTGGCGGCATAGATATCACACTGCGGCGGCCCACTGGGAGGGTTACGAGGGACGCGAAGAAGAGCGCCACGACGTCGTTGGCCGCTAACGCCGCCGCCGCCCCAGCAGCAGTGGGTGTTGTGCCGTGCACACCCTCCACTGCGAGGACGCTTGTCTTGTGCAGCTTGCAGCTGCCGAGGCAGCGCAGCATGCGGTTGCGGCTGTACACCGCAGTATCAATGAGGCAGCGCAGCGGCAGAAACGGCAACGGCCCGTTCGGCAACACAGCGAACTCCTTCGGCGGGTCGTGGTAGAACAGTGCGACATGCACCCGCGGCTCCACCACCGCGCGCTCGTACAGGTAGTCGACGAAGTGCCCCACAATCCTTCCAACGTCCGCATTGCTGCTGAACCACCGGCCATCGAACTTCACAACGTAATGCTGGGAGAACTTTCTGCCCCCGCCACGCTGCAGTGACCGCATTACCACAGCCTCAGCGCCCGCTCCGAGCGGCCCGCTCGCTGCTGCTGCTGATGATGATGACGATGATGACAATAGCGTCGCACCTTCCCCTTCTTGCAGCTGAGCCCCGCCCTCGCCCGATATTGCTGACGTCGTGTCTTCTGCTACTGTGCCTGCTGCCACAAGGGCGGGGTGCGCAGTGAGGAGGAATTCGCGCAGCTCTGCAAGGAGCACAGCCGTCGTGGCGCTGTTGTCGGCGTGCAGATCGCAGTCCCACGCACAGCAACGCTGGGGCCGCCACATCGCTGTGGCAAGCGCCGCCTTGTACTCTGACACGTTGCGGCACTCATACGTGACGCTGCTTCCATTCCCACCTGCCTCGTCGCTGCCGCCGCTATCATCGCCACTGCTGTTACTGTCGGGTATCTCGACGACGGGACGCCAGGCGGAGTAGTCCCGCTCCCGCTCAACGTCGAGGTACAAGTGGCATGGCGCCCCCTCGCGTATAACCTCGTAGAGGTGCTGCTGCAGCGGCTCCACCTCGCGCACCACCCGCGCCACGCCGGCGGCAGTTGCCGCGAGGAACATGCGCGTCTGCGCCGAGAGTGGCGTGGCGCCGTAAAGCAGCGCGTAATCCTCCCGCACTGCCCGACGCTTGCCGTCGCGCTGCACGTCCACCGCGTCACACGACGGCGGAGGGGCCGGTCGCTTGCGAAACAGCAATCTGCTGCTGCTGTTGTTGTTGTTGGTAATTCCACGGGTGGCTCGTGACGCCAACTCGCGCGCAACCTCCTGTTCGGAGGGGAATTCGACGCTGAACGGAAGCCACTTCCTTAGACTGTCTGGATCCTGCTGCTGCTGCTGCTGCTGCTGCGGTGTGCCATTCTCTGCGTCGATGAAATCGAAGA